TCTGTTGAAAACTGAGAACACTCTAATTTCGGAGTGTTTTAATCTGAGAAATTGTATCCCTGATTTGTGCATATCAGAATTTCACTTGCCAAGATGGCACACACAAGTTGTGAAGGTAACAACTGATTTATCACTCTTGGCATACTTCATACTTACTTCTCTCTCAGTCTTCCTCTGTCTAGTCCATCCAGTGACATTTTGAGTTTTGAAAGGTATTTTTGAATGTAAGAAAGCCTTTACTACCCAGAAGGGATCTAGAAAGTGGAACTGGGGAGGTTAGTACGTCGAGGGGACTGTTGGTGTCCTTCGAAGCATAGCAGCTAAGGTAACCCTGATAGATGTTACATTTATCATAATAACAACCCTCTCTCTTTTGTTAAATGTTAAAGTCACAGCCTTGAAAGATTTGAAATACAAGAAAAAAGTACTCTGCAGCATTAAGTTCTTCATCCCACTGTCTTCTAATTCCGTATTAAAAAGGGCACTGTAAGCCCTAAATTTTGCATTTCTCTTCTCATACTGTTTCTTGGTTGGATCTTGAAAATCAAGTATTTGGTATTACGAAGAGATCATCTTTAAGCTTAGAATTATTTATCAGAAAACTACTTAAATAGTATCTCTTTAGTATTGTCTATTGTTGTGAAGAATACTTTCCCATTTGTATTATATTGCACTCGGTAAGCACGCTTTATGTATAATAAGACATCACCCCTGCTCTTTGGCTTCATTAGATTACATTAGAATTGGCCCTTTCATATTTTTGATAAATACAGTGGTTACTTTACCGTCTCCTTGTCTCAACACTAAAGTTGAGACTTTAACACTCCCATCCTTTCACTGACCGATCCTTGAATTTATATGAAATTTATAGCTTTGGAATAGAAGAAGCCCCAATAAATCAGTCAAAACAAATGTTTAGAATTGATTGTTGCATTTTAAAAATTCACTTTTTTGTTGTCTGTGTATGCAAATTTTGTTCCTGTAATTACAGTTACTTCTCTTAGGGCTTTTGCTGACTTAGTTATTAACTTTAATCTTTTTAACTTTGAGGGATCAAACTGGACAGAACAGTACTTTCAGCATGATTGATTTGTCTTTAACTGTTACAAAAATTTGTGGCTATTTGTCTGACAGCAGACAAAGAAACGTCAGTGAAAGTGCTTTATACAACGAAGGGCTATACCAATGACAGCTGTTTAAAGAAGTGTAATCAACACATTTATTGAGCACATACTGCGTGATTGGCGCTATTCTAGATGCTGAGATTACAAAGATGAATAAAGACAGGAGAACTCCCAACCCAGTCTATTTTTATTTTTAACAACAAGCCTATTGAGATAGGATTCACATGCCATAAAATTCACTCTTTTAAAGTGTATAATTCGTGGCTTTTAGAACTTAAAAGAGTTTTGCAACCATCACCACTGTCTAATTTTAGAAGACAAACGACAGTTTTTAATCAGCATGTTAAGTCTTTGCTGATTTTTGCCTTTATCTCAAAGCTATTTTTTTTTCCCTGCTTTTTTCAAACATGCGTAAGTGTGAGAGCGTTTGGGGTCTACGCTTATGTGTAACTAACTGTTCATCAATTAGGGAGCAGCATTAGCTTCCTCCCATTAAAACAGTGCTAAGTGATGTGACATCTATAAGAATAGATGTAGCAATCACAAAGAATTTGAACAAGTGAAATAGATCGTTCTGGGGGGGGAGGGTACAGCTCAAGTGGTAGAGCACATGCTTAGCATGCACAAGGTCCTGCGTTCAATCCCCAGTACCTCCTCCAAAAATAAATAAACCTAATTACCTTCCCCACATCCTGTCAAAATAAATAATTAAATAAAAATAAATAGATTGTTCTGGAGGAATTATTTAACATTGCAGAAATATGGGAGTAGGAAAGAAGTATTTTCTAAATTGAAATATAGTTGATTCACTATTGTATGAGTTTTGTACAACACAGTGATTCAGTATTTTTATAGGAAAGAAGTAAAGAACCACCCAGTTTGTTGAAATAACAGATATCCCAAGCTTAAAATCAAATTGTGCCATGTTCCGCCACCCACATCTTCTCAAAATACATACACAAAATACAGTAACTTGGTTTCAGAGCCATTTTGTGTTCTTGGTTTCTTGTCAGAGATTAAGTAGGATTGTGTGTGTGTGTTTTTTTTTAAACATTAGTGGATCTGTAGATTTTGTGAAAATACTTTTGGTTAATCTCGGGGCTCCCCAAAACTCAAAATGGTTAAAACACCAGCCACGGCTTAACTGGGTTGCTGTAAACAAAGCCCAGAATGAAACCCCTGTGTATTTGCTGCAGATTCCCGGGTGCCTCTCAAGTGCAGGAATAAGCTCAGAAAACATTTAATAGGTTTATTAAGTAAGCATCCATTAAAAGGCTCACGCGCGCCTTGTGTGTTGCATCAGGACGAGTCCTGCCTCCTCCCAGCGTTTAGTACTGCCCAGAAGAGGGTGACCCCTAGGACTTAAGGATCCTTCTCAGATGTGTAGGCAGCAGAATTTTGTCAGGACAAAAATCAGAGAGCTACATAAAATATTGTCAGGCAGAGGATGTCAGGCTGTTGTATTTTGCCTGGTGTCTAAGAAGAACATCCCTCCAGAATGGATTGTTTCTTAGGTGTTATTTCTTGGGTGAGTTTCGTGGAGATCCCTACCAACGACGGAGAAATCACACTGAAGGTGAACACTGGATTCACAACAGCTGCCGATGAAAAGGGAAAACCTCAGTGTTAGCTCTTGCCCTCGTATTCTGGAACAGCTTGACACAAACCATGGCTTCTTGGTCAATTCCAGCCTCCGGTGAAGGCAGTTCGTATCTTGGAGATGATTTGAATTCTGGATAGTTTTGTTGGCATGTTTATTTGTTGGGGGAGAAGGGGATTGTAAGCGTGGAGATAGGAATCTGTCTGTTGTAATAGGATTTGGTCTGTGTGTTAATGGATGAACTGGCCTTTCTTGCCGTGCTTCCTTCGTGCTCCTCGCTGGGAAGGGAGGCCGAGTTTCCTAGAGCAGTTGATGAAGCTGGCGACTCTAAGAGGAACTGTGGACTCTTGACCTTCTTGATGGTGATGGGGAGGGTGTTAGGGGAGTTTACAGGGCCCACAGATTGGCGTAAGGAGTAGAAAGAGTTATATTACATTTCTGCCTCAAAACAGGAATACACAAATGAAAGCAGGAACTTCTACTTTCTGAGCATTTCTTCTTTTCAACTTTCTGTGAGCCTGGATCATTGGACACTGTTTTCCCCCAAGCATCACGTGACCATTTAGGCAATGTTCATTTTTCATGTAGGTTTATTGTTAGATTGGAAAAAGAAAACAACTGCCTCGTATCGCAGGCCCCGCTAGGCCTTTTCCTACTATATATAGGGCAGCTTCCTCGTTTTTTTCACTTCCCCAAAAATGTCATTTAATGAAAACAACACCATCAACTAAGAATATTTTCTTTTCTTGCTCTAACAATTCTTAAAGTAACTGTTGGTTTAGATTTAATTGTTGACCTGTGTCAGTGCCTTCTGCCCCGCCCCATCTCCCTTTTGCCTGCCTCCCTCACCAACAGAAGCGTTAAAGAACACTTGATGAACAATAACCGCTATTTAAAAGAGCTTAAAAGTCTTTAGCTAATTATTTGCTAAGAAAATACTTTTTTAAAAGCAAGTTATAAATCTTCTGTATTTCAGAATCCGTCAGTTATACACACACACACACACACACACACACACACACACCCTGGATATTTGGTTATTTTTCTGAATCACTTTCATAAATACTTGCTCTGGGATGGCTAACCGGAATTGGAATGGAATGAGGTCAGGCAGGAGATCATCCAAAGACAAATACTGCAGTTTTTGTTTTACGCATATATTTGAGTGTATTTCTAAAAAGCCTTTTAAAAGGATGAGTACAAATTAACTAATAATTTTCTCTTATTGATGCTTTATGTGATGCTTTTGTTACGGTTTGTAGTTGGACCCTTACACACACACGTATGAATTTGTCCCTTGGAGTTTAGTTTCTGTATCTGTTGCCTTTTGCCCACTTCTCTTAGTCCAGATGTTCTGGTCAAGTTGGTCCTTGGTTTGGATATTCTAAATTACTTCTAGGTTGCAAATGTACTTCCAGCTGCATTTTGGCTGCATCCAGCCCTAGAGCTGTTTTTTCCTTCCTTGCTGGATGTTGAGATTTTTTTTGATCATGAGAATCAGTTTCTCTCGCTCTCCATTTCTTGAACATCTGCCCCCTCCTGTTACTGCTCTCAGGCAGAGCGCCTCAAAGAAGAGCTCCAGCTACCTCTGACAGCTGAAGGGCAGACCGACGGCCAGGCAGCATGAGCTCCTTCAGAATTTGTCTTCATGGTTTATGAAGTTATTACGCTTAAATCATAATCCTGGATTTTTGTGAATTTTACATCCTCCTTTCAGTAGTTTCAGTTCAGGGCCAAATTGCCTGCGTAGGACTTACCATTTATCACAGAAGAAATCCCCTCTAATTTCCCACAGGGCAAAGTAGCGCAGGCTGATGTGTATTGAGCTTCTTGTGTGCTTAGTATCTAATAGTGGTCCTGTGGTAAATGCTTAAAACTTTCCAAGAGGGGAATCACGGTAATGCAAAGGTGCAAAATAAAAGGGGGTGACTTAGCTTAAATTTTAGGATATTTAAGATTCCATTATTTCATAGGGGAGTGGGGAAGAGTTTGTATTTTCTGCTTAAAATGTTAACTTAAAAAAAAAAAAAGCCTCCATCCTGCAATTTTGAGAATGAGTGTTTGCCGGGAGGGTAGAAGGAGGTAGCAGGGAGACCTTGTGAAGTGAGCTGGTGCCAAGAGCCCAGATGCAGGAGGTCCTCCCCAGAGCCCTCCTGTCTAGCTTGGTGGTGTAATAACACCAAGTTGCTGGGGGCGGGGTGGAGCGGAGAGCTCCCTTGTAATAGTTTCTGGTTGTAGCCCTCAGCAAAGCTGTGTCCATTCCCTTGGCTTTACAGACTCTTGCCGAGAAGGAAAGATGTTTGGTTTTCACAAGCCAAAGATGTACCGAAGTATAGAGGGCTGCTGCATCTGCAGAGCCAAGTCGTCCAGTTCCCGGTTCACGGACAGTAAACGCTATGAAAAGGACTTCCAGAGCTGCTTTGGGTAAGATCACCTGATGTTTGTACCACCTGTAGAGTAGAAAAGATCACAGTGTACAGAAGGATTTCTAAGCAAAGCGATCAGAGCAGTGTGCTAGTAATTAAAATCACTGATGTTCTTCTGGGATTTCAAAGTTTGTAGATACTGACAGGCATATGCAGAATAGATAAACAAGATTATACTGTGTAGCACAGGGAAATATATACAAGATCTTGTGGTAGCTCACAGCGAAAAAAAATGTGACAATGACTATATGTATGTTCATGTATAACTGAAAAATTGTGCTCTACACTGGAATTTGACACAACACTGTGAAATGACTGTAACTCAATAAAATATTTTAAAAAATCACTTATCTTCTAATCTAGGTTATTTCAAGGCACTTGCTCTTAAAACAAATCAAACAGTATTGACAGCCTACCTTTTTCCAGATAATGAGGAAATACAAATTAATTGTGAAGCCCCTTGTAAACTAAAACCAAACATATCCTTTTGTTTTTAACTTGAGGATGTACAAAGAGATTTTTTAAAAATTTTTAACCTTATTTCTTCTAGTAGACGTCCTCCGCTGGTTAGCTCTCTGTCCTTTGCATTGTTTTTCTAAATTATAGAAATATATTTCACTCCAGTCTCCTGAGGATACTAACAAGACTCAATGTTCTGCCCTTAAACTTGTCAGGGTACAGTAGCTTTTATTTTATAATTTTGTTCTTTATTTATCTTCTGACAGGAAGCCTGTTTAATAGAGTGGAATATTTTTTTCCCAGGAAATACTTGGTTAAAACGAAATACTTAATGTCGAACCATTTCCCATGTTAGAAATTAATTTTACACTTTGTTTTTCTTATCAGAACATTTGCTATTGATTGTTAATCCTAGAATTTGTAGTTATTTTGAAGGTTGTCAAAGAATCTTTACTAACCTTGCCTTTTAAAGTTACATTTTTCTCTTAATGTCTTTATTTCCAGTTGTATATATAATAAGTGTTATTAGTATTTTTCTTATATGTATTTATAAAACAGGAAAAATGTAGTAAATGAAAAGTTCCTCAGAAATACAATTGAAAAATACCTTGGGAATTATAGATTTTTTTCTCCCCTCTACAGATATAGTCTTTTTTTTTTTAAATTACAGTGCCTTTCTGGTTTTGTTTGCTGTGAAACTAGAATATCATGTCACACTTGGGTGACATTTTATTGCTTACGAAATATCTACACATTTCAAGAAAGATTAATTAGACAGCATTGTTTAAAACCATGGTGACCGGATCTTCTCTTGGTCTTAAGTTTTATTATTGTTTAATTTAAAAAAAAGTTCTTTATTCTAAAAGGAGCAAATTGCATCACATGGTACTGGTTCATTGAATCTAAAGTTAGTTATATTTCTGAAATACACTACAGAAGCGATGGAGCTGGATCACCCAGGGCAATTAGAATAACGTCTGTAAACTATAAATAGATAGTTTTTTTCTAAAAGAAATGTACTTGCAGGCATTCTTTAATGTAAAGGAGACTAATAAAGGTTTGATTGCTTTCTTCTCAGGTTACACGAGACTCGTTCAGGGGACATCTGTAATGCCTGTGTCCTGCTTGTGAAAAGATGGAAGAAATTGCCCGCAGGATCAAAAAAAAACTGGAATCATGTGAGTTCATCTTTTGTCTTTCTCAGTTGTACCTCTGTTATATTTAAAGTAACATTAATTCCTCTCCTAATTTAGGAAATAATATGTTCTAGGATGAAAAATTCTGAAAAGAATAAAGAAAAACACCAGTTGCTTCTCAGATATAATCACTTAACATTTTGGCATGTTTGGGAGTAAAATAGCTTGGCGTGGCGTTTCCCTGAGGCTGGATCCAATGTTTCCGTTTTGCAGATTCACAGAATACATTCCACATTTTAGGTTTAATCCAGAAATTCCTAGAGTGATTAGATGTGGTTCCTTTTTTCCTCTCTTAGGATAAACATTTATCCTAACTCATGTTGGTACTAATGAGCACATAGATTTGCAGTTGGAGCTGGATTTAAATCTTGTCTTTACCACTTACTAGCTGTGAACTTTGGGTGAGTGACATATATTGGGCAAATGCAAAGGTAATAGCTATCTCACAGGGCAGTTGTGAGAACTGAATGAGATAATTATATATAACACATAGTAATCACTCACATAGAAGCTATTGTTAATGCTCTGTATTTAAATCTAATTGAAATCAGACTGATATGTGAATGTGTGTTGTTTGCATCTCACTTTACAGTGTCACTGGAAACCTTCAGAAAATATTTTCAATGATGAGAACAACACTGTTACATAGTGTTTAATTTTTCCAAATTGCTGACTTTCAGAAGATTATGACATTTATACAAAATAATTGTTTTTAAGCAGGAAGACATTTATTCTTCACCTTTTTTCTTCACTGTGCTTTGGTGACAGTGACGTTACTCTGATAGGTTTCTGTGGGTCTGTTAATTTATAAAAATGTGAGTTTTCCTTTCATGAATAAGATTATCTGGAGAAGATCCAAGTTAATGATTTTGACGGTGTTGTCCACTGTTTCACTAAAGGGTAGAAGTCTGCAAATAGTAAATGTGAATGAATGCGTGAGAACTGGGACCACATGGGGCTAGACCAGTGGCCATCGTCCTCACGTAGCTGACCTCGGGGATGACGGTGCACAGTAAAAAGAGCATGAAGCGTAGATCTGAAAACCTGGTCCCCTCCCCCGCCCACCCTTGCCCATTTACTAGCTTAGTGAAATAGGGCAAAATACATAGTTTAATAACTCTTGTTTTCCTTTACTCTAAAACTGGAGTAACAAAAAAGCCCCTTACTGCTTCGTGGTGAAAGTGAAATCAAAAAGTATATGAAAGCTTTTTTTTTTCCCTTTGGTTGTGGGGGAGGTAATTAGGTTTACTGACTTTTAGAGGAGGCACTGGGGATCGAACCCAGGACCTTGTATGTGCTAAGCATGTGCTCTACCACTTGAGCTGTACCCTCCTCCCTGAAAGCTTTGTGTAAACTACACAATATCACCCTGTAGGCACGTTGGCTGTCGTTAGGCGTGGTTTTTCTTAAACTCCTTGGGTCATTTTCACCCGTTTACATTTATATGTAAAGCTACAAACATGTTTTTGTCTAGCAGACACCTGCTATTCCTTACTTCAAAGGAGAAAAAAACCCTAGGTAAACTATTCTTGAATACCGTGTGATGATTAAAACTGCACATCGGCTGTCAAACACTGAGTAGAAAACTGGTTCTCCAATTTGGCTCCTTCAAATAAGCATTTGTCTGAACCAAGGGAATACAGGGGTGTCATTTTTTAAGTGGTATTAAATATTCAGTGTTTTCTTCCAGGTGGTGGATGCAAGGGCAGGACCCAGTCTTAAGACTACACTGAAACCAAAGAAAGTGAAGACTCTATCTGGAAACAGGATAAAAAGCAACCAGATCAGTAAGCTGCAGAAGGAATTTAAACGTCACAGTAAGTTTGGTGTTGAAATGTGGTTACTTAAGAATATTTTTTTTTGTCTGAGGATGGCATGTGGTGTTATGTATGGATCATGTTTTCTTTTAATTGCTTTTTTAAAAAAAAAAGAGTAGAAGACAGTGTTAACTTGGTAGAAGATGCATTTTTCACTTTTGTTTACTTGATTTTTATGCATAAGGAGATTGAGGCCTGAAAATCTGCCAAAAGGTGTATAAATGCTTAGTGAACAATCCGAGACCAAAGCCTGGGTTTTCTTTTCAGGAGACTAACTTTAGAAACCGTAACTCACATGTTGTGGTAAAGCCAGTCTAAGGACTTTCAGGTTTAAGGGGCTCGGTGTGTTGTGTGTGGGGGGTGTGTGATAGGATGGGAAAGGAATGACAAATTAATACCGAGTTCATTTACTCTTATAGGAAGTCATTGTGGGGAGGGTGCCTATTCTGGTACTTCTGTATTTGGGAATTTAGATTTTGAAAAGGAAATCCACGGCATATAATGCTATATTTGTGTGCTATGTTATGTAACATGTGTATCACCCTCCAGAGGGAGTCTGAGGCAGCACAATTGAATCAAACACGTTAGTATTTCTGCGGGAAACATGTAGGAGCATTCGTATAGGTGGAATCAACTAACTGTAAATAAGCTAGTCAGGTTTGCCTACCTAATTATAGTTCAGTTCAGGCCAGATTTTGTGGTCCAGACCACACCCCTGTTCTCAGATAACTCATGGATGTTCCTCCCACTCTTTCCAGTACACTCCCTTTTACCTCGACCCTCCTGTGTATTTGGTGTCTCCCCCCAAACTGGGCTGACAAGTTGATTTGCAAACTAGGTTTCGGTTTCTCCATTCTTTGGCCATCAAATAAAGCTTGTGCTGTCCAGGCTTAGCATTGGTTTTGTTATTGGCTGTATGAATCCAATGTGAAAAAGAACCTCTCGGGCTGAGACAGAGGGTCTCGGCCAAGCTAGGACACCAGCATGGCTCAGGTTGACCAGTTCCAACATAGGTATTGAGCACTTTAAATAGATAATTATCTCAATGATTCCCTTTTTTGTAAATCATTTTAATTTACTTATCATTAGTTTTTAACTATCTTTTTTTTTTTTTAACCTCTCAAGTGGAAGTACTGGGGATTGAACCCAGGACCTCACGCATGCTAGGCATGTGACCTACCACTGAGCTATACCCCACCCCCCATGATTTCTGTTTTAGAGGTTAGGATAGGAAGTGCAGAATGGTGATTTAACCTTGACCCAGATCACTCAGTAAGTGGTAGAGATGAATTTGACCTTGGGTTTGTCCAGCTTCAAAGCCCCAGGCTCTTTCTACAATACTGTCCTGCTCTCTGGGGAAGTGTAACCAACCCCAGGACTCCAGAGTCTTCCCAAGTCTGCTACTACTTTGTGCTCTTGGTGTTACCAGTCCGTAGTTATTTTGATAATATATTTAGTCTTCAGCTAAAATATTTTAATACGCTTAGAGTAAAATATTTAGACAACATCAAATATGTGTTTTGATTAGACATGTTTCTTTCTTAACCAGCTATCACTGAGGGAAAAAACAGAAAGACTGATTCAACCCTTCGTTCTCGCTAGATGTTTTAATGAACATTTGGGAAATAGTAATTTTCTTCTATCACTCGAGGGTTAGAGGAATTGATATTCATATGTATGTTCTTAGCTCCTCCCTTTAATTATAGGGAAAGTGATACCTTACTAGCTTTTGCCTTACCTAAGGGAATATAGTATGTCCAATGTAATTTTAGATTTTTGTGATAAAGCTGTGTTGGGGAGGGGTTCAAGACTGAAAATAAGTGGGTTTTGGAGACTGAGAGTGAAATAGTTTTACCAGGTACCTTGTGAATTGCTTTGTGCAGCACAGCAGTTTTTAGATATTTGAATTTTACATCACCCACTAAATGGTTTCCCTGTCTCTGGTTATATATTTGCTTCCGTGCATCCTGCGCATACCTGACCTGTATTCCTCTTCCTGGGACATTCTTTGCTGTGTGGTGTGTACTGGAAAGGCATTGAACCCAGGGCTTGAAGACCTGGATTTGAGTTACAGTTCTTGATGCTTACAAGTATGTGACCCTGGTGTGGCTTAACATTTAACCACAATTTCCTAACCAGAGAAATGAGGATAACCAAGTAAAAAGGGGTTTGTAAGACAAAACAAAATGAAATAAATTCCCACATCCATGTTAGCCATTCTTTTTGTCATTCTTCTTCCTAAAGTCTGCAATGATTTCTGGTTGCTATAGAATAAAGTTGCAAATCCCTGGCAAATCTTTGGAGGCTCTATTTTAGTCAGAGAGTCAGTTGCCTTCGTGTATACAGGGTATTCTAATTCCACAACTTTGCTCATCACCCCTACTATCCAACCACGCCTTTGTGCCTTTCCAAATCCTACCTAATTTTTTTTAACATATTAGCAAAAATCCATTTATTGTATATACTACAGAACAGGATTCAGGGGAAAAGATTATTTTTCCAAAAAAGGAATTCAGTACATTTGTGCTTCCTACCTAAGTTTTAAGATTTAAAAAATTTCAGTTCTTTGAAGAATTTCCACACCTACATTCCAGAAGAGAGTGTTTTCCCACTGTGTTTCTATATATAGTTAATTGTTTCCCAGGTATTAGATTACACCATATAAAATTACCATTTTTATAGGTAGAAATGGCCAGGTAAGTGCACTTTCAAATGGGTCACAGATATTAAGTTACTTCCTAGGATGGTGAACTTCCGTCAGCAGCATGGAGCTGACTGCTGTCGCTGCTGAGTATAAGGGGAGGCTTTAAACATCCCAGTAGATGTATTCTTTTAAAGAACTGCTGCTCTTGAGGATTTCATTTGGTTGTTTTTTTCATAAAGTTAAGCTATTCGCACATTGGAAGGAAATGAACATAATAACACGAATGGTGCTTTCCTTGTTTTAGATTATTTTAGCTTTAACGCTATTTGACGTCAAGTTTTATTAATAGAAAACACTCATGAGCTCTGTTCAGAAAAGCTTCCTTCAGTCTGTTTCTTCCCATGCGAGACAGGACAGCGGGTTTGGTGTCTAGAAAGTACTTAATAAATACTTGGTTGGTTCTCTGAATTGAAGGCTTGCTCTCTCCACCTGTCGTGGGAACGGGGAGGGAGTCTTTAGCTTAAGGTCAGACGTGTGGTGGGCTCAGTCCCTGTCACATTGCCGTTGCTGGGAATAGCAGTATGACAGCCTTATAGCACAGTGACTGTCAACCAAGAGATTTATCTTCTGGCTTGTAAACTTTTATGATGTCTTCTGAGGGCAAAAACACTAAGTCATATTTAGCTGTATCTGATGAAATGCCTGCATTTCTTATTAAATCAGGATCTATTGTTTTCCCTTTATAGGTAAGGTGTGTCTTTTTTTTCTTTGGTTGCTTTCAAGATTTTGTTTTTTTCCTTTGTCTTTAGTTTCCAGAAGTTTAATTATAATGTGTCTTGGCATTGATTTCTTTGAGTATATCCTGTTTGGGGTTTGCTCGGCTTCTTGAATCTATATAGGTTTATGTTTCTTGCCAAATTTGGCAAATTTTCAGCCATTATATTTCCTTGAGTACTTTTTCACCTCCGCCCTCTTTCTCCTCTTCTTCCAGGACTGCAATCACATGAATGTAGATTTTTTTGTTACAGTCACACAGGTCTCTAAGGCGCTGTTCGTTTGTTTTCTTGGTGTTGCGCAGGTTGGGTAACTTCTGTTGTTCTTGCTTCCAGCTCACTGACCATTTCCTCTGTCTCCTCCAGTCTGCTGCTGAGTCTGTCCACTGAGCTTTTTATTTCATTTATTGTATTATTTTCAGTTTGGATTCCAGTTCCTTGATTCTTTTTTATAGCTGTTTTTTTTTAACTGAGGCTATTATTCAAGCTTATTTCAGGCTTGTTCATAATGGCTCATTGAAGCATTTTTGTCATAGCTACATCTCTGTCATCTTCGTTTAACATATACTTGACTTTTCATTCAGTCTTGAGATCTTTCTGATTCTGGATATGATGTGATTTTTTTAAAAAATTGAAACCTAGACATTTTAAAATTATGTTTTGGGACCCTGAGTCTGTTTAAACTGGCTGTTTTGGGGCACCCTTTTAAGAGGGAGAGTAGGGGAGGGGTGCCACCTTGTTACTGCCAGTGGTGTTAAAAGTCTTCCCCGCTCAGCCTCCATTGGCATCTGAGTGGGCGGAGCTCCTGACTGCAGCTGGGTGGGGGTAGGTGGGAGTTAAGGCTCCCACGTGTGGGGGTGCTCTGGTTCCTGACTGGCCATGGTGAGAGCCCTGCCTCTTCAACAGGCTTCCACTGACACCAGCCTGGTGGAGGTGTTCGGGGGGCCTCATAACACACTTGAGGGGATGGAAATCTAGGCTGCCCCTTGGCCTTAGCTGGGGTAGGTGGGGGTGGGGACCCAGTTCTTCTGCAGTGTTCGGCTGGAGTGGAGTGGTTATCATCTAATAAAGGTTTCCTATCTTGTTAGGCTGTCCCTTTCCTGGCCCCTTGGCTAGAGAGAGCAGGCTTTTGTTTGCTGTGTATGTGCGTTTGCACCCGTTGGCATTTCTGAGTTGCTGGCTTCTTCATCTCCAAGACTGGGATTTACAGCGTACAAAGAAAACCTGCAAAAGCTAGGGCGCTCACCCCCACGTCCTTCCTTAAGTCTTGAGCTTCCTGGTGCTGCCAGCTCTCAGAGTCTGTAGTTTTCTTTGCGTTGTGTCCGTACGTATTTTTAGTTGTGCTCACTATTAGCAGGAGGAATAGGGAAAAGTATGTCTACTTCTGGAAGCTGAAGCCCTCACTTGCTTTTAGAAACACTTTCGTGTTTTTAAATGTCAGTAGTGAATAGGAAATAAATTCTCGTTTTTCCTTTTTACTAACTCGTTCACAGCGTTTTATGCCAAGGCTTAGTTGCAGTTGCATATGACGGAGTTTTAATTTGTTTCCTCTTTATCGCAGACTCCGATGCTCACAGTACCACCTCAAGTGCTTCTCCAGCTCAGTCTCCTTGCTACAGTAACCAGTCAGATGACGGCTCGGACACAGAGATGGCATCTGGCTCGAACAGAACGCCAGTTTTTTCCTTTTTAGATCTCACATACTGGAAAAGGTAAGAGCAACAGAAAATATCCCTCTAACCAGCAAACCTCCCTAATTATAGGCAACGGCTTCCCACTTCCTTAGCAATTAAATGGCATTTGGCAAACAGCTGGTGGCATATGTGGCTGGAGGTGGATTAGGCAAGAGTTGAGTGGGAGTTGGGATTTTGTGTGTTTTTTCCTATTAAAAATTGATTTAAAATGAAAACTCCAGTAAGGAACCTAAATTCCCTGTAATGGAGCAGGGTAGGTATTCATTATGAACAACTCTCCCACTGGAAAAAGCTAAAGGGTTAGAAATATATATATATTTTTTAAATGGCATTAGGAAATGGACAAGTTGATAAGGAATAATCAGAGGCCAAATGCTAAGTGAACGTGGGAACTCCCCCCACCCCCCCAGGCAAAAAAGAGATAACAGACTAGGAAAGAGAAAATATTTAAAAAGAAAGTGATGAAGGATTTTCTAGTTCACAGATTTGGGAAGACTCACAAATTAAAAATAAGGTAATAAGCAGTTATCTTGTGGATGACGGAAATTCACCCATAGACACATCATAGTGAACCTGTGGAACATGAAAGATAAAACAGATCTTAAGCAGTGAGAAAATAAAGACATTATTTTCAGAGGAACAACAAACAAGCGGAGTTCTCAGCATAAAGAAAGGAGGCCAGAAAGCAATAGGTTAGTATCTTCAGTGGCCAAGAGATAATAACCCTCAACCTGGAATTACATGTAGAGAGCAAAAATATCTTTTGTAAACAAGGGCATAGGACTTTTCAGCTAGAAAAAAAATACTGAGAGTTTGCTACCAAGTTGACTCAATAGCGAAAATTGTACAGGCAGAAAAGAGATCCAAGGTTGAAACTCTGAGAAGGATGAATAAAGAAAGTATTTAGGTAAATTGAAACAGACACTGACTGCTTAAAATGACAATAGTTGTGGGAAGTTTAAAAAAATTACATGACAACAGTAACATAGAAGTCAAAGTAATAGAGTGATAGGAGTTAAAATGTCCAAACATCCTTTGCGTTATTGAGAATAAATGTGTTGAATAACTTTAGAATTTGATTAATTAACTGGGTGATCACGCAAAGAATAAAGATTAGAGTGTGAAACTTCAGAGAAGGGAAGGGAAGAGAATTTTAAAATACACCTAGCAAAATAAATGATAGTAGGAAACCTCCACATATTTGTAAATTAAGAAACCATGAGTCCAAGAAGAAGGTATGAGTTAGAGAATTCTTACAAACTAGAAAATAACTGAAAAATATAACAAATCAAGACATGTGGCATGAAGCGTACAAATTAGAAAAGTCTTATAAACTAAAAAATTAACTGAAAAATAATAACAAATCATAATCTGTGGTATGAAGTTAAAAAGGCAGATGGAAGAAAAGTTCTTAACCTTTAATGCTTCTTACAACAGAAAGATGAACAAGAAATGAACAGATACGCATCCAATATAAAGAAAAATAAAAGCAAGGAAATCCTCAAGATAGGAGTAGAAATAAATGAGGTAGAAAATCAGTCCGAATGGATAGTATGAGTAAAGCCAAGAGTTGGTTCTTGAAAAAGACTTGACCAAAAAAGTTAGTAGCAGCGATGAAACAGGTCAGGAAGAAGAGATGGTAACCGCCAGCGTCTTGGACAAGACGAGGGAGGGTCTGCTGTGGGATAGTGTAAACATTATTATGCCAGTTTTTAATTTATTTATTACTTATTTTAAAATTTATGTTTTATTTATTTATGTTTTTTGTTATAAAATTACTGTGCCAATAAATTTGAACATATAGGTGAAGTAGATACATTAGAAAAAGAGTTTTTAACCAAAACTGTCTCAAGAAAAAAATAGGAAATCTGAACAGTCTCTTAATAAAGAAATGGATTCAGGAGTCAGAAGTCTTCCCTCGGGAAAATCCCAGGCCTAGACGGACGAGTCCTACCAAACGCTGAAGAAACAAAGAAATCTACTCTCGCGCTGGCTTTTCCAGATGGTGGATGAAAGAGAGCATAGGCCCCAAGCGTTCCGTGAGGCTAACGTAACTCTGATACCGAAACAGTATGTCATGACCAGGTTAGATTTATTCTAGGGGTGTGAGATCGTTTTAAGCATTAGAAAAGCAACTAATATAATTTGACAATTTCTAAAGGAGGGGAAAGATGCCCGTCGTCTTAGTGGTATATCAAAGTTGTTTAATAAATTTGAACTTTCCTTTAAGGTTTATAATAAAATCTTCAGCAAATAGAAAGGAACCAACCACATTGATACATAATTTGCATTTTCAAGTTGTTCGTGTTCCCAGAAACATAACCCAGAACAAAGCTATAGACGTGTGCACTGATGTGTACGGGATGTTTGTAAAAGCAAAAACTGTCCCATCGGAAGGAGAGTGGGTGAACTGCGGTGTGTTCACACGGTGGGATGCTGTGTCTAAGTTAAAATGAAGTAAAGCTCTCTCTAACGATATGTATGTACCTCAGTTTCTGTTGAGCAAAAATATTGCAGCGTACAGTGCAATTCCATGTATATGTGTTTCTATATATATTTCGATTATATGTATGTATATATACGAGATAACTGAGCAGTGTGTTTAAAGATGCATGCGTGGGTCTATAAAGAAAGAAAGGAATGATAGAATTAAGGAGGCAAGAATGAGATGGGGTGGGGTGGGACTGGAGAGAGGCCTCTACAGGGGGACTTCACAGGAAATAATAATCTTTTCCCACAGAGTGTGTGACCCATGAGTAATTGGTTGTGTTGTCATTTTTAAAACGCTTTCATGTACAAGTGATCATATATGTGGATATATTTTTCATCTGCCCAGTATTAAAGCCATCAGCTGTATCAGGTGGCTGTTTTTCTTCAAGATTTGGTGATTTTTGGAGGAAACAGTCGACAATTTGGGAGCAGCCTCTGAAACTGACTGCCGTCTCGGAGTGCCCCCTTCCCCCTTCATATTTATTGGAAATGATTCCAGTGTGAGATCGAGACGGCCTGGGCGATGCCCTTTCACCTGGAATGTGACGAGATGGCGGAAGTGAAACCTTTGGTCGTGATGAGCAGATTTTTTGGTACTCTGACTTCTCTGCGTTACTCATCTCTTTCGGGCTGTCTCCATTGTTTCTTTCAGACAGAAGATCTGTTGTGGCATCATCTACAAAGGCCGTTTTGGGGAGGTCCTGATCGACACACACCTATTCAAGCCGTGCTGCAGTAATAAGAAGGCCGCCACCGAGAAGCCGGCGGGGCCGGGGCCAGAGCCTCTGCCCATCTCCACGCAGGAGTGGTGACTGAGGTTCACGTAGAAGGGGAGCAAAAAGTGATTTAAATTTTGGAAACAAAGCAACAGAATGACCCTATTATTTTTTAACTTGGATCCCTGCTATTCTGCCAAAAGACGATTTCTAGAATAGTTTCGAGTGGGTTATTTTTCCTCCAGTTCCACAAACTCTGAAGCCAGTGTCTAGCTTACTGAAAGAAAAAAAAAAAAAAGGTGTACATAATATTTAAGATGCTGAGTATTTCATAGGAAAGCTGAATGCTGCTGTAAAGTGCTCTTTAAGTCTTTTTTAAAATCCCCTTCTAATGAATGGAATTAGGGGAATTTCAGGGGACAGAGATGGGATTTGTTGTATGATAAACGTATGTAGTTTTAGTCTTTCTATATTGAGAAGCAGTGGTTGGGGCATTTTTTAAGATGGCTGGCTACACTTGCTTTCCTTCATTATAATAAATTTGTCATAACTCAGTAACATGGACTTGCCCCTAGAGGTAGTTGTTAATAATTTTGAAATATTAAGGTCTTGTCAAGGTTCTGTTGATTCAAGCCTGTACTACTGAATACAAAGCAGGGCAGACTAAGCTCTCTGATGCAAATGTCTTGAAGGAGTAATTTCTAAGTCCACAGAGGTCACTTGACTGTATATGTTGCATCCTGTGTCACCTCCCTCCATTATTGATAGTTGGTAAAGATTTTAATTTATATGAAACCTCTAAAGCAGAATCCAGGTTCCTCTTGAGGGAGACGTCAAGTCTTCAGGGTAGGCAATCCTGCATGAATAGTACCAAAGCATTACCACGTGGTAGAGAACACGCGCTCATTACAACTGGTAGATTATCTGACACATCAAATGTGCAAGTCTTCAGGATGGCACAGACGAAAAACAAAGGTTAATGCTTCTTGGGGCATGTCTCTTAGAGGGCTTGCAAGTGTGTAAATACTTTGTGTTACATGACTGGTGACTTCATTGAAAATCTGCACAATTCAGTTTTAGCTCTGGATTACTTCAGTTGACCTTTGTGAAGGTTTTATCTGTGTAGAATGGTTGTTTGACTTGTTTTGACCAGTTAGGGTTTGGGTGGGTGGGTTTTTTTTTTCCTCCATTCTGTATTAAAGCAAAATTCTACTAAAAGAAGAGGGGGTGTGTGTCAATGCTGAGTGGGCCGGTTTTGGTTTGGATTCTGTTAGTCAGGCTTTCTGAACACTGTGGTGTTAGATGAGACATCCTAAATACATCTTCAGTTCTCAAATCGTCATTAAAAGCCTCTTACTTGAACCCAAACCAACGTACTATCATTGCCTCTTTTCTACCAGTTCAGGAACAACAGATCACCAGTTCAGACTTCTCACAGGGAGGGAGGATCGTTCGCCTGCCTTGTAATAATAATGCAACTCAGTGCTTTTTTTTTAAGAAAACTGGATTTGAAAGATTGGATCATATACGTGACCATAAGGAGTGAGCCACTTTTTCTGGGCACCCTATAGTTTTATAGTTCTTAATTTAAACTTAAAATTTTATATTTCTTCCTTTTGGGAAAAGC